TACCAATAGGTCCTCTATAAAAAAAAGATTCATCATACAATGATTTCAATATAATATAATAAAATATCTAACCTATTTCCTATATCTCCAATGATACCCGTAATACCTTGCGGACCGATTATTCCCTACAAATTCAATTACGACTTTAATAAATAAAAAAATAATAATATGTATATGTAAGGTTTACCTGTATACCTTGTTCACCTTTATCACCAGTGAAACCACGATCACCATGTTCTCCTTTCTCCCCTTGAATGCCCATATCACCTTGTTTACCTTTGATACCAACAATTCCAATAGGTCCTTCAATGCCCTGAATAGTTACGTAAGGTTATTATGTTAAAAAAAACATTTTTTTGTAGAGTTACCTTTGAGCCTACTTGTCCGATTATTCCTACTTCACCTTTAATACCTTCATAACCTTTTGCACCCTAAATAAAATATTAAACTATAATTGAAAGATTCATATGAATCTTTGTTGATACTTTACTTGATTCCCGATAGGTCCTTGTATACCTTGTTCACCAACAATACCTTGAGCACCAACAAAACCTGTAGAACCTTTTTCGCCTACAATTCCTTTAACACCTTTATCACCTATACATAGAATATAAATATTATCTTCAATATTTTCTTAACAAATTAATAAGACCTTTCTGTCCTATGTCACCTATTGGACCTCGTTTTCCAGTAAAACCAATTTTGCCAATAGAACCAATAATTCCTTGTTCACCTCTATATATTATAATTTCTATTGTATACATTTCAATTAATAAAAAGCCAAAATTTCTTACTGAAATCCTTTATTGCCTTTATCACCCTATTATGAAATTATATTCTATACCTTTCATAAATCAATTGAAGTATTTACCTTATCACCATTTGGTCCCATTATACCTTCGGCACCTCTATAGAAAAATAATGATCAAACAATATAGTAAAAATTAATTGTGATAATTACCGGACACCTGTAATACCTTTGAGACCAATAGGTCCAACATCACCTTTACCTCCTTTAATACCTATCTTTCCCTAGTTAGAAAAACAATTTTTTTTATCAGAAATGGTTAATTATTTACTTTGTTTCCATCTATACCAACATCACCTTCAATACCTTTATAACCTCGGTCACCTTTAAATCCTTTAGGTCCTCGATATCCTTTAAGACCTTGTAATCCTTTGTTACCAACATCTCCCCGAGCTCCTTGCGGTCCTTGAATTCCTGTTTCACCTTGATTTCCACGCTCACCCTTACGACCAACAAGACCAGATTTACCCTAAATGATTGATGGCATATATCATAAAACAATTGAACACTGACTGATTCTTACCTTTTCACCAATATCACCTAGAATACCAATAGGTCCACGTATACCCGTCTTGCCTCTTCGTCCCTAGTTCAATATTTATTTTATAGAAGATATAGAGTTTTAATTATTTACCACAGGTCCTTGCTCTCCTTGGTCACCTTTTAAACCTCGTTCACCCTTGTGACCTTTTTGACCGATTTTACCTTGATGACCAACTATAATTAACAATAAACAAAAATATTTATAATCAAAATAAATCATAACAAACCTGTTCCAGCCGAGCCTTGTTCACCTAGAAGCGCTCAAATAAATTTAATAATTATTTTATAATAAAATATTTACCTTTTACTCCTTGACCACCTTCAATACCAATCGGACCAATTCTACCTTGATGACCAGTCTCTCCAAGTGATCCTCGTTCTCCTTCTTCTCCTTGATCACCTTTTTCTCCTTGTTTACCTATTTCTCCTATATATCCTTTTTCTCCAATGGAACCCTGTAAAAATATTCTTCTTTGTTATAGTTATACAATATATGTCAAACTTCTTACAATTTCACCTAGAAATAAACTTTTCTAACATATAAAAATAAGATAATCAACAGACCTTTAATACCAATAACACCAGGAACACCAATCGGACCAATTTCCCCCTATAATTTATGAGATTAACTCTTTTTTTTATTTTAATATATTCAGCTAACCTGGAAACCTTCAATACCTTTCTCACCTTTTCTTCCAACTCTTCCAATCCATCCCTAATAAATGAAAAAGTTCTAGATCATATTGTTCAACAAATTAATAGTATAAATATACTTTTCGTCCAACACTTCCACTTGGTCCATCAAAACCTGGTTCACCAATATTTCCCTATGATGATAAATGAACATATGAAATAATGATTATAAATATATTGTAGTATTACGCACTGGTAAACCTCGATCTCCAGGCATACCATAATCACCCATCATACCTTCTGGACCCTTTAAATAAAATTGAAAAAAAATTGAAAAGTTACACTAAGTATTTTTACAAACCGGTAAACCTTGTACACCGTCGAGACCAGCTGAAACAAACAAATATATATATATATATCATATTTTTTTAAATTCTCTTACGTTGTCCAGGCATTCCAGCTGGTAATTGAATATAGGAAATATATGGTGAAGAAGATATCAATGGTATTCGACCTCTGAAAAATTGTGATGGATTATAGACATGCATGAGTAAATGACGTTGAATCATAGTACGAATATCTTCTTTGCGATAATGTTCAAGATCATAACCAGTCTAAACAAATGATGATAATCAATGAAATATTCAATATAAAATATCTTACTCCTGTACCACTTGTTTCTGATATGCTTCCTACAGAACCTGGCGAACCAGGAGATCCTGGCATTCCATCAATACCAGGTAAACCTATAGGTCCAGGAATCCAGTAGATAGCTGTAGTGGTAGTAGTAGATATTGTTTGGGTAGTCGATGCAAATGAAGTTGTTGTTGTTGTTGTTGTTGTTGAAGATTTTCGTGTTGAACTTCGAGTACTAGTAAACTTTCGAGGTGGTATTATTGGAGATCTTGACTTAAATTTCTCCGTAGTGGAACTAAATGTTGATACAGTACTAGTAGTAGTAGTGGTAGTTGTTGTTGTTGTAGTACTAGTCACTGTTGTAGGAGTGGTGGTAGTAGTCGTCAGAGTAGTTGTGGTTGTTATGCTTGTCGTTAGAATAGGTGTAGTAGTAGTAGTAGTTCTCGTAGTTGTGAATGTAGTGAGTTCTTCAGTAGTAAATGTGGTAGATTCTTCAGTAGTAGTTATTATTGGTGATTCTGTAGTAGTTATAGTAGGTTCTTCAGTAGTAATAGTAGTAATTGTAGTCTCTTCAGTAGTAGCAGTAGTTGTCATTAATTCTTCAGCAACAGTTGTGGTAGGTAATTCAGTTGTAGTTATAGTAGTTTCTTCAGTAGTAATTGTAGTAGGTGAATCAGTAGTAACTATCGTTGTGGGTATCTCTGGAATCGTAGTCGTAGTTAATTCTGGAACTGACGTTGTAAGTAATTCCAAAGAAGTTGTAGTAAATATTTCCACATGTGTTGTGATAATAGGCAACTCAGTAGGTAATGTAGTCGTTAACTCTGTAGTTGTTTCAAGTAACTCCGTTGTAGTTATAGTTGTTTCCGTAGTTGTTACTTCTTGAGTCGTAGAATACGTTATTTCTGAAGTAGTAGTAATCATAGGAGAAGTACTAGTTACAACATTTATTAGTTCTAATTTTGACCATCGTCGTTTCCAGTATTCTAATAAAAAACTAAATTTGATGATCAAAAATAATCTTTTTATTACCTTGTTCTTCTGGACAAACAAGACATGGACATACTGGATCATGATTGTCAATCTTTTCAATTTCTGTACAATTGCTTGACGCAGCAACCACGTCGCAACGACTATCACATACAAAGGCTTGATCGCTTTCGCATCGACATAAATCACAAACATTAGTAGGTGATATATATTCTTTTTCGCCAACAGGAATAACTAAATATTTAATAATCTATTTAATTTCATTTCAATATAATTAAACAATGATGACATACGTCGACCATCATCTGACACACATCCAATTCTTCCTTCTGATCCTTGAACTATAAAAGACACAAAAGAATCAATTCGAAGAAAAACTAATTGTTTATAAATAAACTTACAAATATTAATTTGTCCACGTATTATTGAAAAACAAAGAAATAACAAGAAATGACGTTCAACATGTAACATTTTAAATCTATTTACAAATTATATCTAAAAATCTAGATGACGCAATCTTGTACTATCAAATATGACCTTGAGAACATCCTTGATAAACTAATATTATCAAATATATTCTTTCAGAGAGAAAAAAAACAAAATCTAATACAATATCTCACTATATATAATATATAATCTCTTATATCTTAATCTACAACAACAAAAAAATTCAATATGATACATTGTACAATAATAATCATCTTCTATCATATTCTTCTATAAATACTTTCTCAATTATATCTTTCATTGGTATATGTATAAGACACAGCAGCAAACAATAATTTATTCAACCGCACAATCTGTCGACAATGACAATTGTATTATATCTTTCTTTTTTGCATATACTCTGTTCCTGTTGTATCGTTCTTGTATGTGTCTTCTTTTTCTGTACTTTAGTTCTATATCAAGTTATCTAACAGATTGACAGATGGATTGATGTACGTGTATAACTATTACTGAATGTGTTTTTGCATAAGAAAAAATGTAAATTAACATTTTTCTTTGTCTGACTAAATTATTTTGTAACATTGTAATTAATATTAAAGATAAAAATCTTGAATTTTTCTTAAAAGATAAAAATCAATGGACTTGATTAATATTTTTCTCCTGAGAATAATATATGAATTCTATAGATAATTTTAATCAACAATATCGTTCGATTATATTTTTTTTTTTCTTAATTGAAAACACAATTAATCATGCAAAATCATATTCGATGCTGCACAAAGATTAGTTGAGTGACATGAGAAGAAAAAAAAAGGAGTGACAGTTTGCGTGACATTATTATAAAGGATCAATAATATAATAATTTATTATATTTTTGCCAGAGAAATTTTCTTACATTTATATATATCTATATCATTTGAGAATAATTAAATAACAGACAACAATGGTCGACTTTTTTAAACGACGTGTTCAAACTCATCGTGATTCTTATGAACAATTTGCTTATGAAACTGAAGAAAATCATAAGAGTAAATTAGATCTTGTACGTTTAAGTGCGGTCGTATGTGGTATTGAATTTTGTTATGCTGCTGAAACGGCATTTGTATCGCCGATACTTCTTCAATTAGGTTTACCTGTCATATTTATGACATGGATATGGTGTTTACCACCATTAATTGGATTTTTTCTTGTACCTATACTTGGTTCATTGAGTGATAAATGTAATACACGTATTGGACGACGACGTCCATTTATTATCATTTATTCAATTGGCATTTTAATTGGTCTTTTATTAGTTGCAAATGGTAAATAAAATTCTTTTTTTTTTATTAATAATATAGTAAAATATTTTATTGATAATCAGGTCGTACAATTGGACAATGGTTTGGTGATTTAAATTATACATCTATAAATCAAACATCTTTACCATTTTTAACACATAAAGTTGGTACAATAATAACTATACTTGGTGTTATTTTACTTGATCTTGATTGTGATGCATGTCAAAGTCCAAGTCGAGCTTATTTACTTGATGTTACAAATCCCGAACAACAATCATTAGGTCTTACAACATTTACAGCAATGGCTGGTCTTGGTGGTAGTTTAGGTTATTTTCTTGGAGGTATTCCATGGGAAAAAACAGCTCTAACTCGAATACTTGGTGATCATATTCATGTTCTTTTTACCATTGTTTGGATGATTTATATAATTTGTTTGATGTTAACTGTAACAGCAGCTAAAGAACCAACTAATATTGCAATAATGGCACCATATCTTAATCGATCAACTTCACGTCAATTTCTTGTTTCAACTTATTCAATAAATAATTTCGATGAAGATATTCAACAACATGATGAACATACATTAACAACATCGAATAATATAAAAATATCATATATGGATTATCTTCGATCAATTATATATATGCCTTCATCATTAAAATGGCTTTGCTTAACAAATTTTTTTTGTTGGATGGCAATTGTATCTTATTCATTATATTTTACAGATTTTGTTGGACAAGCTGTTTTTGGTAAATATTTAAGAATGAATTAACGAAACAAAATTTAATTTTTGTTCTAGGTGGAAATCCAAAACTTGGTTATGAACATCCATTAAGAATATTATATAATGATGGAGTACGATTTGGTTCATGGGGAATGGCAATTTACTCAATATCATGTTCAATTTATTCATTTAATATGCAAAGACTTAATAATTATTTTGGTTTGTTATTTTTTTAGTTTCACCTATTATTTTTTTTTTCTTAAAATAAAAAGGTATTAAACGTGTTTATATCGGTTCACAATTAATATATGCTATTGGAATGTTATTAATGGGATATTTACGACATCGTTTTGCTGTTATTATTCTTTCAGCTACAGCTGGAATTCTTTATTCAACATTATTTACAATTCCATTTTTACTTATTTCAAAATATTATGCATCTAATACAGTATGTTTATATAGTTTTTTTTTAAATATATTGATTTATTGTGATAATGTCTAGTATGGACAAACAAATACGAATGGACAAATTCGTGGTATTGGAACAGATGTAGCTATTGTAAGTAGTATGGTATTTTTGGCTCAATTTTGTTTATCATCAACAATGGGAACATTTATTCATCTTGCTAATTCAACAGTTATGGTAACTATTGTAGCAAGTATTCTTAGTGTTTGTGGAGCTATCTCAGCTACACAAGTATTATATCTTTAATATAAAATTTAAATAAATATATTATCTTCAATTAATTTGATTGTTTTATTTATTACTGTTTCGTGACCGATTAAAAGCGATTAGTGTTATGTATTAATTAAATAATTTTAATATACTGACAATACTCAACATATATGTTATAATTAATAAAAATGAATAAATAATAAGACATCTTGAGGGTGTGGGTGTGAGAATAAAAAAAAGGAGCAATCACACCGACATCCACACCCAGATGGACAAAAATAAATTATCCTATTTTCAAAAGGCATTGAAATATTTAAATAATTATCTCTATGATTGTTATTTATCTGATAATTATTTAAAAATGAGTGATTTACATCACAAGCAAGGAGATTCGGATATTGCTATTGCATAAAATTGGTAGACGTTTTATGAAGAAAGATAATTATTTAGAAACATTGAACAAGCTTTTAAGAAGCAAAACAATTATTTATCAGCATTAATAATGTGTAAAAAATCTATTGACATACATTCAAATATTGTTTCGAATTAATTCTTCATCTATTTATATCAAACACGGATAATTCCAAAAAAAACATAGTATCCATAATTTTTCTAAATTTATATCTATTTTAATACACAGAACATTGCATAAAACTTAATTGCAAATTAATTATTGATTTTTGACATTTTTTAGTTCGTTGAAATAGTACGGTTCATTGATAATATGAACGCTCATTGAAAGCTGATTCTTTTATATTTAGATTGAAAGACAATGAAACCCTCAGAGCTATATCTTTGACAATATTGCTGGCAATCATCACTTTCTTGTTAGTAAAGAGAAGAAAAATTTATAGGTGATCGACCGGGATCTTAAAACTGCCTGCGCCTAGTCTTATTCAAAAATATTTCACTTTTTAAGAATATACTAATACCAATTGAGTCTTAACTTTATCACATGATCATCTATCCATCTTTTAATCACATTTTTATTGTATTTGTTATAGGATAGAATCAAAACGATTAGAAGAAATAAAAGCAATATCAGATTTCCATTTATCGATATGTGAATAGATCCATCTGTTATATTTCAATTAAACTGACTTAAGATATTATCTGTGTTTTAGATTTCTAAAACACACATTTTTTCATCATATTCTCTTATTCTAAAATCAACTATGGCTACAATCAATATCTACTGCTACGTCGTTTTCATTCTTCTCAGGTAAATAATTATTCAATTTTGTCACTGATTTTATTAACATCCATTGATTTTATATCTTAGCATAACAGGTTTGATTTCTCTTCCATTTTATATGTTTATATGTATTAGTTTATTACTTTCATAGCTCAAATCAACTCTCAAATATGTGAGAAAACAGCTCAGTATGGTGAATGTTCCACAAACAGTGCATGTGGATGCTTTCATATGATAGGTACTCATGATGATACAGGCATTTGTGGCTTTCTTTGGCCAACATGCTCTCGTCTTGTACGGTGCAATTCATCAGACAATTCATGTCTTTAACCGAACACGATTTGTGTTCACTAGGCATGTAGCGAACCCGAACGTTCGGGTTCGGTTTTAGGGTTCGGGTTCGGGTTCGGTCTCCAGAGTTCGGGTTCGGGGTGGTATGCACTGACCTCCAAAAATTTAGGCATCGAAATGATTTTTTTGACATGTGTGGTCACCGAACCCGAACAGCTCGGGTTCGGTTGATGTTTCGTAATTTCCTTTATTATGCTTCCACATATGTCAGGAAAGTCATTTCGATGCTTAGATTGTTAGAGTTCGGTCCAAACTACCCCGAACCCGAACTGTAGTTCGGGTTCGCTACATGCCTAGTGTTCACCATCCTCAATGCGATGATTTTCCACTGTGTTATCCAGTTACAATGATTGGTCTAAACATGTGTCCACCAATGAAAAGTGAGTAGATTGGTGAATGATAGATGCAACATTCTTATCCACATTCTCAAGAGATTTGAAACTATAAATTTCATCTGTTTTAGATAAGATCAATCTTAAGTGGAAACAAAATGCCATCACTGTGGCTGGTGGAAATGAGCGAGGACAGCAATTAAATCAACTCTATGGTCCTTATGGAGTTTTTATTGATGAAAAGAGAAATATTTTCATTGCTGATGTTGAGAATCATCGTATTGTTGAATGGAAATACAATGCAAAAAAAGGACAAATCATTGCAGGAGGAAATGGGATGGGAAATCAAATGGATCAATTGTTTCATCCAACAGATGTGATTTTTGATGAACAAAATCATTCGATCATCATTGCTGATTTTTTGAACAGACGAGTGGTTCAATGGGTAAATCAAAAGCAACAAATTCTTATTGACAATATTCACTGTCGTAGCTTGGCAATGGATAAAAATGGCTTTCTTTATGTTTCTGACTATATGAAGAATGAAGTGATACGATGGAAAATGGGAGAATACAATAAAGAAATTGTAGTGGCTGGTGGAAATGGACAAGGAGACCAATTCAATCAACTCAATGATCCTACTTTTATCTTTGTTGATGAAGATCAATCTGTTTATATATCAGATTGGGGCAATCATCGTGTGATGAAATGGAGAAAAGATGCAAAAGAAGGAACAATTGTGGCTGGAGGAAATGGTTATGGAGGAAATCTCAATCAATTATCTGGACCTCAAGGAGTAATTGTTGATGATTTAGGTCAAATCTATGTGGCAGATTTTTTGAATCATCGAATAATGCGTTGGTGTGAAGGAAAAGAAGAAGGTGAAATTGTTGTTGGTGGAAATGGCCAAGGAAATCAATCAAATCAAGTGGATGGTCCCACCGGTTTATCATTT